AAAAATATTATAATAAAAATATAAACTTTTTAAGTCTTGCATACATATACTAGTTAAGATGATTGACTAAAGTTGACCATCATTGATCGGAAAAGTCAAAGATGGCTAACTAAAACAATAGAAAGGAACAGAAGTAGTATGAAGCAAGTCCAAACAATGTTGAAATTTGCTATGAGGAACCATTATGGTGAATATATTAAAAGGACTATTAGGAATACTTGCTCACATTCCATACGAAATGATATCTCACAAAGATGTTTGGCCCTCTCCTGATAGACTTGATCCTTGTCTAAACAGATTGTTTTGATGTTATCGCATAATGCAACATATACCTTGGTCATGAGATAGATCAAGATAACTAACTAGCTTTTTCAGACATATTCCTTCTTTAGCAACTTCTTCTCCTAAACTATGTGCTATGCTTCAACAATAGATCAAATAATGCAAGTGATATTAACACATACACATACCATTTTCATAATGGGTATAGTCATTTGGGAAAAGTTTATAAAAGTATGTTGTAGTTGAGCCCTCTCGCATTTAAACTTAGATGTATATGATTTGTTCTCAAACAAATTGAAGTATGTAGTATTGCGCTATTAGCATATGAGACATCTAGGCACTAACAGTGTTAAACCATAGTGAATGTTACCATCAATACAAAGCGTAGTGTATTGTTTTTCTAAAAATTAAATAATGAAAATTAATATTTTTTTAAAATTGATTAATGAAAAGAAAAACTTATTACAAAAATTTTAATTCCTTACGACAATGACTAGCCGCAACAGGAAATTTATTTGGGTAATTACTATTGTTAGAGTTGATGTTTTTAACACCTTTTCAAAATTAGTTAATTAATAATAAAAAAGATTACTAATAAATTTTGTTACCTGGTAGCATCATTTAACACATTTGATGAAGTCTTAATGATAAATTATGGGTCCTCATGTTTGGGGTATATCTTTTAATGGATCCTCATTTTATTAATATGTTTATATATAAATAAGGATAGTGATTATATAAATATAAATTTCTACTACACAACTAGTTGATAACATTATTGTACGGCTGTTGCAATAATACATTTATTCTGTGTATATTTCTTTGCATACGATAAATACAACTAGTTGCTTTATTTAAAGCAATGAGGGACTGAAAATACACAAACCCTAGATAGCCTAGCACCAACCTCATTTGGCTGACCTTTCTTTTGATGAAGCGCTACTTTCTCAAAGGCCGTCATTCTTCTCAACCATCTATTGCGGTACCGGTGCCCCCTACCGAATCACTGGGGCACTGGACGATCATCTACGCACCTACATGCGGATGTATGTAAATAATGTTCCTTTCAAATTGAATGTTATATTAAAATTGTATTTTATTCTTCCTTCCCAAAACATATCCATTTTCTATTGATGCTCAATTTAAGAAAACAAATGATATACTTCTTTTATAATTGTAACCTCCAAAAGCGAAAAAGTAAAATGTAATTAAAAGAAAAAATATGAACTAATAGATAAAAGAATAAAATGAGAAAGTAAAAGGTAGTTGGTCTTCAATCTAGGATAATAAAAGTACCATTAACTTTTTTGTGTGTGAGAGCAAATATATCCATCAATTTCATTTTGGAATAACTAAACACAAATGTTTTAATTTGGAAAAAATGTACCCTTGAATGATATATTAGATAATACACATAATCCTTAACTATATATTAGAGAACATTCATACACCATAACCTTTTAGACATAAGCGTATATTTGTTCTAAATTTACAATTCTTATGTTTAATCGTTCCCCAAGAAAAAGTTGACGAGTAAATTCGTATCATTCCCATTTTGAAAAGTATTAATATTTTATGGAATACACAATAAAATAGTGTATCTAACAAAACGAGGCATAATGAGAATATATCATTTTATGTACTACACTCATCTCACATAATATTGAATGATATTATGTGATGTGATTGATATCGGTTTTGTAAAGTATGGATAAAATAAACATGATTCAAATTATATTTTGTTACTAAATACTGCCCATAATTAGGGAATATATAACCATGACAAAATAGGGAGAGAATATATCACCGAAAAATAATATAAGTTATACAACATTTTCAAATTTTGTAGTTATCTCTCTATTCATTTATGGTATTATACAAAGTCCTTGGTGTTCTTTTACTACATGCTATGGTTCCTATTGAACCGTAGGCTATAACAACGTTTCCCCTGCACATCCACAAACATACAATCTTATGAGACACAAATAAATGGCATAAATGAGGGGTTACTTTTAATCATTTACCTCCATTAATTTTACCCATAACCGGGCAACTAGAGTAACAAAAGAGGGAAGCTACGGTTTGGATATTCAAAATACATGTAAGCTTAATGGTATAACTACATCATTCATTACACAATTTTACGTTCACTTTTCAACACTATAACTTCATCTTCATTAATTCCAATATCACAACAATTACCTGCACAAAGAAGCACACTGTCAAATTTAGAAAGAGAATCGATCAATTCAAGTTTTTTATTTGAAAAATGTTGATGCTACACGACAACTTCAACATGGGGCTATATAACAAGATGCACCATAGTTCAATGTATCCACAAGATCAATTTACAGGATTTGGAATATTGTAAAGATTCAATGACAAAGTGGCGAGGACATTAATGTCAGTCATAAATTAAGTGGAAACGTGTGAAGAAAAAGAGTATATGTCCAACTCGACGGTTTCAAGGACACCCCTTTAAGCAAAATGATAAATGTTAGACCAACCTCTCATCCTCTTGCAATTTCAAGAAGCACTTTTCACATAATGAAACAGAGGAGACAAGTCAAAGCACACACAAGAACTATTAAACCTTTCTTGATTGAAGAAAACAAAATGAAGGTGTTTTTTTTGTTGGAATCACTTGACACATTTTCTTTTCCAAAAAAAAAATCCTAATTTCCACAATTTAGTACTTACATGCACATAGATGAAAAGTGCTTTAGTTTAAGTAAAGTGACGACAAAATGTTATTTGTGTGAAGGACAAAACCCCTAGACAGGCATGCAAAATCAAAGATATTTATAATAAAAGTGATTTTCTTGTGCGCCGTGGGAAAACCTAAAACCTATATTAGGTACTGAGTGGGGAGTTTTATTTGATGGAAAGATTGACATTTGGCCATTTGTGAGAAAGGTAGCAACATACAGAAATAGAAAAAACATGCCAAAAGTATCATGCAGACTAAATCTATATATTGGTTGTCACAATACCATTTACAAGGACATGTTACTCACACATGTGATTCTAGCAATAAAAACAAAGTAGCTACAACAATTTGGATGACATGTTATCATCCAACAAGACTAAATAACATATAAGCACAAAAGATCAAGAATTTATTCATATAACAACATAAGATGGTTGGGATATTACACTGGCTATGCAACCACCTAATAGTCCTTGTTCGGAGTAATTTTTTTTTTTTTTTGTATTTTTGAATGCAAGTATTTTTGTGTCCAAGTATGCATTTAAGTAGTCAATAGTTATGTAGTCTGCAAGTATTTTTGTACCTTTTGTAATCCGCATCATATATATATATACATATATATATATATATATATATATATATATATATATATATATATATAGGGAACGGTTCCGGTGAGAATGGACTCCTAGGAGAGAAATGAGAATACATCTCATACGTTGATATTATGTTTTTAACGGCACAGAGATATTGATGCACGATTATTATGCTGGACTTGATTACATGATATCACTTCCCTAAAAAACTAAATACACGTATGTTTATTTGAGGAGGGCATATCAGTAACTTCAATATCAATTACCGTATATAATAATACGTACAATTTAACACATTCCTTATCAATATGCAACCACCCACTTCTATGTTCCTAAATTTTCGTGCTATTCATAAATAATGATGTTTCCTCCACTATCATAATATAATAATAATAATTATAATAATATGAGCTGCGTAGTATTGTTTATCATTCACTTGCATCTATATTTTATTAATACATCACATGCGTGCAATTTGTTTTATATAAGAATGCAATATGTTCACACTGAAAGTGCACAAGTAAATAAACCGAGTCATCTTTCATTGTGCTAGGTCAATTATCATTTGGATTTTTTTAAATACATCTAGAATAACTAGTTTGAACACGATGCACTCGTAAATAATGCATTTGTGTATTTTGTGCATTAAATTGGACTAATGGTGCATGAAATTATCAACATCATTACAAGATAATAGAAAAGTGCATTTTTTTAGGCATAGAGGTGCAAATTTTAAGTAAAAAAGAATAATGAAGTTATGAAAATTTGTTTTGCAAAAATGAATAATCCTTTAAGTACATCAAAATGACTATTTTAAGTTATTGGTTTCATGCGGTATACTGAAAGTAAAAGTGCATTGAAAGTGTATTTAATGTGGAACAAATTGAATGTAAAGGTGTATTAAGATATTAAGTATATATGAACTAATGCATTATTCATAAATTCATTATGCACTAAAATTTATTTTAAGGTGCAGTCTACAAAGGGAATATCTATGTTGAGTATAAGTTTGCACACAAAATTTTTACTGAAAACCTAACATTAGATATTAATGATGTATAAAATGATTGAAACAAACTATAAATAATATAATTTTGTGCACCTTTCACTTTAAACTTTATTTTCCAAATTCAATAACTTCTTTTTTCTGCACGTTAACATTTTATTAAATGCACTTTTAATTGATAGATTATGCACATTTACTCTATATAACATGCATTTACGCTATTATGTAACATTTGATTGTTTTAATAGGATAGATATACAAATGAGGATTGTATATACAAAGGGTATAATCTAAATTACAAAGTGTATTTTGTTGTATTTCAAAATGCAATGTCATGTCACACTTTCTAGAATTGTACATTGAAACTTCCTATACATGAACACAATGAATAATAATTCTCTCATGAGAGGTGTCTTCTTATGATGTTCCATGTCTATCCCTTTAAATCATATTCATGTGAACTTGTAAACTTGAAGAAGAAGAAGAAATCTTGACGTTGTTATCTGCAAAATGAATTACAAGTTATTAAGTGTACGGATATGAATATGGAAGTAATAAAGATGTGAATGAATGTGCAAACAATCTGCATTAGTGCATTTATTATAACAAAAGAGTGCAAAATATATTATTTTGTTAGTGCAAATTTTAAAAATGTAAAGCATAATTATAAAATGATAGAGTGCAAAATATATTATTGTGTTAGTGCAAATTTTAAAAATGTAAAGTATAATCTATGTTAGTGCAATATATACTTGACGAAGTGCATGAAAAGATATGTAAAAGTGCACCACTGGGTGACTGAAATAGCAATGTAGCAACACCCAAACAAGAAAAATCTCAATCAACAGGCACAAATACAAATGTATAAAAATTGTATGATCTGAATATCTGATAAAGAATATTACTAGCACATAATTTATGAGGGTGAATGCACAGATAAGCAAAAGTGTACTTGCAGGTGACTGAAATAACTACACATCAACATCCAAATAAGAAAACTCTCAATCAAGATAAGCACACATACTAATCTATAAAAATTGTGTGATATGATATACAAGAATACAAGCACGTAATTAATCTACAAGGCAAATTGTCTGTGATTGGATTCTAAAAGAAAATCAATTCAACGATAAAAAAATCAGTGTAGACTCAAATAGAGATAGTGTAATTATTTTTTTTTAGGAAAAATCGAATTGACAAATAAATCACACGAAATAACTTACAGTCATCCATGGGGAGAATATGATATTTTTCAGAATTTCAGATTGAATGAGATGAATATAAACCTCGAGTAATCCATGGAAGTGATATAATACATTATAGGACAGAGGAGAGATTGAAGATGGAGATGAGCGGGGAAGACGAGATGCAGTGGAGAGGCCGCTGATGAAGATGAGAAACGGAGAAGAGGTCATCGATGAAGATGAGAGAGAGAGAGAGAGAATTGAGAAGATCTTGCGGATGAAGGTGGGCGTGAAAGATGAGACGGTTTTCAAAAGGAAAGATACCAAAATGACCTTTGTAGCCTCACACGAGTTATTATATTAGTTTAAAAGATAACGAAATCCAAGGGTCCCCGTTCATTCTCATTTCTCTCCTAAGATGGTATTCTCATATGATCCTTACTCTCTCTCTCTCTCTCTCTCTATATATATATATATATATATATATATATATATATATATATATATATATATATATATAGGTTTTGGTTCAAATAAGAACACGATCTTATGAGAAAAATGAGAACGAATCTGGACCGTTAGATTTGCTTCAAGTGAAATTCAATGTGCATTAGATGAAACTGTAATGTGCATTAGGTGAAATTGAAATGTGCATCACAATGGGTATGATAGAGTGACATTATGTGCAGTTGAATTGTGCATTACGTGATATTGAAATGTGCACTGGGTGAAGCTGAAATGTGCAGAATAAAAAGTACGATGTGATGTTATTTTTGTACTTTTTTTTCGCACATATCAGTTTCATCTAATGCACATTTGAGTTTAAATTTTTATTTTGCACATTTCAATATCATTTAATGCACATTTGAGTTTCACCAAATGCACAATTTGGTTCCACATAATACAATCCAACGGTCCAGATTCGTTCTCATTTTTCTCCTAAGATCTGTTCTTACCGGAACCGCTCACTATATATATATATATATATATATATATATATATATATATAATGAAGCATATTAAGGATATAGTATATCATTCAACCTCTCAGGCAGTGGTAACTCATCATAGAGGTTACCTAATAACCTCCCAGACATTAACATTGCCCTCACATAGATTGTATTAGATTACTTGAACCTGAATAGCCTCTTATATAATAGCATTTTGCTCACAAAGGTTGTATTATGAAAATTGTAATCTAAATAATCTCTCCTCCATTAACGTTTGCCTCACTCAGGTTACATTAGGGTAATTATATATTTTTAACCTATGCAGTCTCCCAAACATTAGGCAAGTCATCATAGCAGACAATGAATGCACATAAATATCATTAGTAACTAAGGATGGCAATCAATACAATCATATCACCTCCTACATAAAGTTTAACACATAAAAATCAAATAACCCATAATTTGGAAACACAAAATCATACCATGTAGAACCCCACAATTGTCACCATCAGTTTAGCCAAAGAGAAACATCCACATAATCGTATAAATAGAAAAACAAAGAGAGAGAGTTAAGTATATAAACAAATATTTCACTAGCCTAAATATGTGATAGGTGCTTCAAACAAATTTGGAAGGATGAGCTCAAGCATTTTTGATCGATGACATTTCCTCGCAGATGGAATAAGAGGACTTCAAGGAGATGTGACATCTTCTTCTCCGTCATGGATATTAGAGTTTAACACCTAGTATCCTCCACATGCATATCCAAATGTTGAGACAATTTTGAATCTACACCTCAGTTTGGCCCACAATCCTCAACAAGATAATCAACTCATCATTAGTGACAAAATTGGGGTTTCCCACATCTAGACACATGGTTTACAAAAATGCTTCATTAACTGCTATTGTGTTTTCCAATGATCTCACCGGTATGATGCGATGCCATTAATAAAGTTAGGGGTCAACAAATGAAGATGTGGTGGAAAGAGGAGACGAGGACAAAGATTAAAGGCAGAGATGAACACGAAGATGGGTGAAGAGAGGAGACAATTAGAGAGAAAGAGTGAGTGAGTGGGGGGTTGGGAAAATAATGTAGATGATATGTAACCTGTTTGGTGACATTTTTTTGGCTTATCAACCTTATTAGTCAATTTCTTCACCAAACATGTAATTTTTGATTTCGTGTGCTGAATTGTGTATTAACCAAAATAAATAAGGTTGAAATTACTTTTCTGGCTGAATTGGTTGAAATTACTGTAGAGTACCATTTAACTATTTTATGGTTGAATTGGTTGAACTTCATCAACTTTAACGACATCAGTCGATTCAGTCAATTTTAATGTTACCAAACGGGCTCAGAAATGGTAAGGCACTTTAGTTTCTAGCCAAAATAGAAATATAACTACTTTGTATCATTTTGGGACAATCCCACGAGGGAAAATTCGCTAAATAGGAGTTAAAGAGTTTTGAAATTCCAAAATATGACTGCATGTTTTTATTTCCTAAGTGTGCGTAATTTCTGCCAAGTTTGGCATTACCGCGCCTTAAACATGACAATTTTTTCCAAATTTGATAGAATGTACTCCTATTTAGAAAAAACATGAAAGTCTTATTTTAAAATTTCAAAACCTTTTTATTCCTATTCAACACAATTTCTAATTCATGTGATAGAATCTAATGTGCTCACAGTTGTTCAAGGAAGCCAATCGTGAAGCCATCTTAGGAGTGTTGAAAGAAGACTGTAATTTTGTTGAGATAGAATCTGTTGCGCTCACGGTTGTTCAAGGAATAAAAAGGGGAATGCAGCTCTTATCTGGACCTGATAATCGATGATATCAAACACCTTATACAAATTAAGAGTGATATTGATGTTTCAATCCCAGATTTTGTTGTAGGTGAGGTAGCAAATGATATGCTAAATCAATGAAGGTTGAAAGTTTACATTAAAAAACAATTTCTAATTCATAATTTTGGGATTGAGACCTAGGAAGGCGAGGAGTAATAAAATACACAGAGTGTTTGCAATTGCTTTCACTTCAAAAGAGTGATTTTTAAAGTAATTTTGGAGAAAATACTTAATACTCCGGTAGTTAAGTTGGTAGGGTTTGAGAAAAAAGTGTTTCCGAAAAAGTAAAAGAGTGTAGTATTTAGTAAAATAAGTGTTTTTTGTATAATAGAAAAAGTGAAAAGCAGTTTAAAGCACTCTTCTACACGCTTCTAGCTTTTAAATGTTTAATTTGAGCAGAAGTTATTATTTGAAAATACTCATTTCAACTTTTTAAAGCGAAAATCATTTTTTTTAAATCTTTAGTAAAGCTTCCTTAAATACTTGTACACCTAATTTTATTGATTAAAAAAGGGATAATGGTCAGATAGGGCCTCGAACTTCGAAAAAAAAGTCAAATAAGGCCATATTTAGGCTGCTATGTCCGGCTAACGCCATTTGGGGCGGTTCCCAATGGAATTTTTTGATGATTTTTTTTGAGAATTTTATTCATTAAGTCTAGTTTAGTCATATCAAATTTGAACTACCAATTCAATCGGGAAGACATTCAAATGAATTCTTGAAGATAATTGCGCTTTTAACTGCACAGTTATCTTCAAGAATTCATTTGAATGCCTTCCAGATTGAAGTTTTAGTTCAAATTTGATATGAGTAAACTAGACTTAATGAATAAGGTTCTCAAAAAATTTCATCAAAAAATTCCATCGGGAACCGCCCCAAATGACGTCGGCCGAACAGAACATCCTAAATATGGCCTTATCCCATTAAAAAACTACAAAGGGCCTGCCTATTTCTCTTCCCTCTGTACCTTTTTATCTTTTTTACCCACTAATAAAGACTCTGTCCGTCGCTCAGAGAACAGCTAGAAAATAAAGAGAGCTTTTAATGCTGATGCTTCAGACTCACCAATTCGCCGGTAACTCCCCAACGACGCCGTCACATTTCCCGACCAGCATTCTCTTTCGCCAGCCCAAGCGCTCCCGCTTCGTCCTCGACCCCCCTTTCTATTTTTGGTGACATCGCATTATCTCAAGCTCCTAATTTCCCATTCCATATCTGATTTCTGCTAGTAATGAAGTTCACCTTCAAATCAGCTAGACTCTTTGTAATTCTTAGTATCTTTTAACTACTACTCCGTATTTCCTTACATTTCATCTCATGATTCTTTACACTTCTTTTTAGCTGATTTGAACGTTTCCACCTTTTGTTTTGTCTCTTTCCCTTTAATTGCGTTGCGGGTCTTACGAGTTCCATTTCGAAGGATTTATTCTTTCCAGGGTAGATATCCTTTCTTGTTCCTTTGTACTTTTTGGTTCTGGGTTCTTCTCTTAGCTCTGAATTGTAGCCGTTATGGCAAAATGTTAAATTTGTGAGGGCTAAAGATTAAAAAATTGTCATTTTGAGCTCCAGCAGAGCTTCAGCATTATTGCAATCTCTAAACAAGAACTATATTGGAAAACTAAGAAAGGTTGCATCTTTATGAGTTGAGCTGGTAAATTGCGATGAAAAGGGTGTTCTTTCTTCTGTTCTTGATTTTTTCAGCTCCCATTTTAGTTAGTTCTGTGGACCCTTCATTAAATGATGATGTTCTAGGGTTAATTGTGTTTAAGGCTGACATTCAAGATCCACACGACAATCTGGTTTCTTGGGTTGAAGACAATGCTACTGCTTGTAATTGGAAAGGAATCACATGTGACCAAAGATCAAACCAAGTCACCGAGATTAATCTCAAAGGTTTTAGGCTTTCGGGAAGGATTAGTAGAGGCCTTCTTCGTTTAAAGTCTCTTAAAAAGCTTTCTCTTGCAATGAACAACTTCACTGGAGGGTTAAATGTCCGTTTTACCCAGCTTGCTAATCTTGAGACGGTAGACTTGAGTGATAACAGTTTATCTGGGCAAATACCGGTGGATCTTTTTCAAGAATGTGGGTCCTTAAGATCACTCTCCCTGGCTAATAACAACTTTTCAGATGAAATCCCTCCAAGCGTGGGGTTGTGTTCTGGGCTTGATTTGTTGAATTTGTCTTCAAATCAGTTTTCGGGTTTGTTACCAGCTTCAATTTGGTCTTTGAATTCCCTAAGGTTTCTTGATCTGTCAGATAACTTGCTTGAGGGTGAGATTCCGAACAGCATTAAAGGTTTGGTCAATTTGAGAGGAATAAATCTGCAGAAAAATCGATTTAAGGGTAAAGTGCCTTACTGGATTGGGAACTGTTTGCTATTAAGGATTATTAATTTGAGCCAAAATTCTTTTTTCGGAGAACTTCCTGGGACCTTCCGCAAGCTAGGGTTGTGTCGTGACCTAATCTTGAGACAAAATGCATTTTCAGGGGATTTTCCAGAATGGATTGGTGAACTGAG